CCCCCCGGTGACTAATCATGGGGATCAGCGTGACTAAACCGAGCAGTAATCAGTGATTACTAATCCATTGTGTGTAATTGTTGGCACAATACCGGTACGACAAAATCCCTCGGACAACGGCTTCGTAATTATAGCATTCCTATATGAAATGGTACGAACATACTTGCTATCTCGATGTACACAATGATTGAGGACATAGAAACGAAGAGTACAGCGGTTGATTTAGACACTTACTACGTAAATTACCATATCTGTCCATCTCTCTGACCATACGTGACTCGGATGTGGTATAAGCAGATCATAGCACTGGAGATCGTGTCAAAGGCTTCACTCAGAGTTTCTAAATGTAGCTTTGACGTCTATCAACATAAATATTGATATTACTTCTGACTGACTTGCATTATTCCCTTTTTTGGACTTTCGTTCTTCACGCGCAATACGCAAGTTATGGTAGTGATGCCCACGGCGCCTGGGTTCGACTTACTGTAACCCCCCCCCCCCCCCCCAAATCCCTTTAACAATGCAAATCCCGGTAAGTGTACAGCTGTGTGTGTCCAACACAAATTCAAAAACACGTGAGGTTGGTACGCTTGTCAATGATTTCGACAACGCACGCCACTAACAAGTGTGAACAGTCCATTCTGCAAAAAGCTCGCCAGCCCGAAGTATGATCTCAGGCGAGATAATCTCCGACGCCAAGCTACTGGAGGAAGTGTCCACCTTCTTGAACGAGACTGATCTGGTTTTGGCACGAACATCGCGAGATGGTGGTGCCTCCGGTACAAGCCTTTGTGAATCATGGTTTCCCATGAATGGTAACAGCGACGACGAACGCACCACCAGCTCAAGTAACACGACGGTTAACACAGCCAAGTCTAACCGGAAAATGGGTCAGAAGAAGGAGGCACTTCGAAGACAACGGTACCAACGGCGGCTCAGACAAGAACGAGAGACTTTGAGACGAATGGAGAAGAGCCTCACGGCCCGATTGGTGCAAGTTAAAGAGGCATACGAAGCCAGGGATTGTTCAGTTGAAGCCAGAGATGGTCAAATCAACTGGCTTTTGAGAGACGTTGCTAAACAGAAACGTGCAGAGCGATTTCGAGCGGAAGAAGAGCAAAAACAACTAGTGGAGATCATCACTTCACAAGCCACCTACCTGTCGACTCTGAGAGATATGATAACTGACCAATATGCAACTACCTTCGGCTTATGAAAAATATATGCAGGTTACTCTAGCCTTCAGTTTGTTCGAGTTTGTATTGCAGCCATGGGCAAATACAGATCTATTGTCTTCACGGATTGTTACTACAAAACATATACATCGTGCTCTTTCAATACGCGTCATCGTGAACATACTGCCGAGAAATTTCTGGAGCAACACAATGGGGTATTGATTTGATTGGTACCATATAGCTGGAAAAGGTTTATGAGGTGACCACGTTCTTCTTACTGATATGAAGGTCAGCGCAAAGGAGGCGAGGGAAGACATAGTTACTACGGAAAAATAATTGATTGGGATCTTTTATGTAGTCAAAAATAGTGAGTCGAATGACGTTTTCCTCGATAATAAGCATGATCACCGATACATGTTGAGCGGTCGACCGCTGTTGACGATAAGACTTACAACCAAAGGATCGAGTGACGCACTTAAAGCAATTGTAACAAGACAAAAGGCAGGCATGGCCTTAGTGTGTCCAAGACAAACCTGACACTATTGCTGCTCGTAATGAAGACGACTAAATAGAAAGAGGTGGCAGAAATAGATGTTATCTAGGTTTCGTGAATCCTTTTGTCCACAAATGGACATCGACCCATACGCATTATGTGCAATAATTGGCGACCGAATAACGAGCTGGATAAGTCAAGCTACATGCCTCATCCAACGCAGCATGACGCACTCTACCTTCTGTAGCACGAATTATGCTACAATCAGCACAAGATTTGGAAGTTTGTGGGGTTGGACCAGCTACGACTGAGTGTCAGTTACGTCCCGGATAGCCTACATCATTACTTTCGGCCACCTGGGTAATGCAC